GAGGTGGCGGACACTGAGGTTGTAGAGGTGGCGGACACTGAGGTTGTAGAGATGGTGGACACTGACGTTGTAGAGATGGCGGACACTGACGTAGAGGTGGCGGACACTGAGGTTGTAGAGATGGTGGACACTGAGGTTGTAGAGATGGTGAACACTGACGTTGTAGAGATGGCGGACACTGACGTAGAGGTGGCGGACACTGACGTTGTAGAGATGGTGGACACTGACTTAGAGGTGGCGGACACTGACGTTGTAGAGATGGTGGACACTGACGTTGTAGAGATGGCGGACACTGACGTAGAGGTGGCGGACACTGACGTTGTGGAGGTGGTGGACACTGACGTTGTAGAGATGGTGGACACTGACGTAGAGGTGGCGGACACTGACGTTGTAGAGATGGTGGACACTGACGTTGTAGAGATGGCGGACACTGACGTAGAGGTGGCAGACACTGAGGTTGTAGAGGTGGTGGACACTGACGTTGTAGAGATGGCGGACACTGACGTAGAGGTGGCGGACACTGAGGTTGTAGAGGTGGTGGACACTGACGTAGAGATGATGGACACTGACGTTGTAGAGATGGTGGACACTGACGTTGTAGAGGTGGACACTGACGTAGAGGTGGCGGACACTGACGTTGTAGAGATGGTGGACACTGAGGTTGTAGAGGTGGTGGACACTGACGTTGTAGAGATGGCGGACACTGACGTAGAGGTGGTGGACACTGAGGTTGTGGAGGTGGTGGACACTGACGTTGTAGAGATGGTGGACACTGACGTAGAGGTGGTGGACACTGAGGTTGTAGAGGTGGTGGACACTGACATTGTGGAGGTGGTGGACACTGACGTTGTAGAGATGGCGGACACTGACGTTGTGGAGGTGGTGGACACTGACGTTGTAGAGATGGTGGACACTGAGGTTGTGGAGGTGGTGGACACTGACGTAGAGGTGGCGGACACTGAGGTTGTAGAGGTGGACACTGACGTTGTGGAGGTGGTGGACACTGACGTTGTGGAGGTGGCAGACACTGAGGTTGTTGTAGAGGTGCTGAGTGCTGAGATTTTAGAGGTGGCGGACACTGAGGTTGTTGTAGAGGTGGTGAACACTGACATTGTAGAGATGGTGGACACTGAGGTTGTGGAGGTGGTGGACACTGACGTTGTAGAGATGGTGGACACAGGTTGTGGAGGTGGTGGACACTGACGTTGTGGAGGTGGTGGATACTGATGTTGTGGAGGTGGCAGACACTGAGGTTGTTGTAGAGGTGCTGAGTGCTGAGATTTTAGAGGTGGCGGACACTGAGGTTGTTGTAGAGGTGGTGGA